CCCGCTGAGGCCCTGAGCGTCGCCCCGCGCGGGGCAGCGAGAGGCCGGGGCAGCCCCCCGGCACGCCCGCGGCCAGGATGGTGATGTCCCAGGGCACCTACACCTTCCTCACCTGCTTCGCCGGCTTCTGGCTCATCTGGGGCCTCATCGTGCTGCTGTGCTGCTTCTGCAGCTACCTGCGGCGGCGCATGAAGCGGCAGCAGGAGGAGCGCCTGCGGGAGCAGAGCCTGCGCACGCTGGAGCTGGAGCCCCTGCACTACGAGGGCTACGCCGGCAGCCCCCCCGGCATCGCCATCCCCCACCGGCTCCGCATCGAGCCCCACCACCACCCCCACATCCCCCCCCCGCGGCCCTGGAGCTGCCGGCACGGTAAGAAGCGGGGCCTCTCCGGCCGCGATGCCGCTGCAGCCGGCGCGGGAGCCCTCTGCGCTGCGCGGCGCCGCGAGCGCGCGGTGCCACCAGCCCCGGGTGGCACCAGCCCCAGTGGCACCAGCCCCCATAGCAAGAACCCCCCCAGGCCCGCAGCGCTCCCGTGGGCACGCTCCAGGAAAGGCCCTTGGCAGCGTCTCCATGAGCTCGCTGTGGCGGGCGGCCGGTGCCGCCCCTGCCGTTCCGCGTCTCCATGAGCACGCTATAGGAAGAGCGCTGTGCGGTTCCTCCCACCCGCTTGCAGCATCACCGCTCGCACGTTATAGCGAGAGCCGCTGGCACCTCCCCGCCGGCCGCTTGCAGCATCGCCCGGGCTGCAGCGGCCCCGCGAGCCAGCGCTGCCGGTGGCCCCGCTCCCCGGAGCCTGCAGCGTCCCCAGGCCGCATCCCGCCGCTCGCCGCGGCCCCCGAGCGCTCCAGCTGCAGAGCCGGGGCAGCCGCCTCCCCAGCGGGCTGCCGAGGGGACAAAGGGCGGCCAGAGTCACCAGTAGCAGGGACGGATGGATGGAGGGGCGGCTGGATGGGACAAAGGGCGGCCAGTGCCACCAGCAGGAAGGAGCGATGGAGGGATGAAGGGATGGAGAGATGGAGGGAGGGAGGGAGGGAGGGAGGGAGGGATGGATGGATGGATGGATGGATGGATGGATGGATGGATGGGACAAAGGGCCACCAGTGCTAGCAGCAGGAGGGAGGGAAGGAGAGAGGA